TAATTGTTGCTCAAAAAACATTCGCGGATAGTTTTTTCTTGCATGGATTTTGAAAAAGCAACATAAACACCCAAACAGAAATATAAATATAATGTTAGATATATACTGCACAAGTACTTAAACTTTAAGTATGAGAATAAATCTTGACACTTTTGTGTGGTAATGTGTACATTTTCAAGGTTACGCAAAGGTTTGATTGATTTAAAATTTTAACCTAAAGGCAAAAGTGTTCACATCAAAGTCGACCAAATCTAGAAAGCTGATACTTCATTTGCAACTATCTTCTGGCTCAACTATTATATTGATTTTATATAAAAGCCAGAATTTATTATAATTTATTCTATTTTATAATCTTGAGATAGAATTGAAGGACAAGGCGTGGTGAAACTTCAAAACTAACCCAGTCTTGAATATTGAGGCATCTTTTTTATCACTTTTGGGATCTCTTCTGTCTGCTTATTTTTGTAACATTTTCCTCCAAATATTTAGAATTTTTATTCAAGCCAACATTTTTCTAACTGAGGACATAATCAAACTAAATTGAAGCCAGATTAGAATTAATTAATATAAATCTATATTTTTATATATAAATATATATAAATATATAATGTAAATATATAAATATATAACTAGCTGAATTATAACTATTAATGTTTAGATCATTGAACCTGAAGAACCCTTGATCAAAGAATATAAATTTACTTGGAGAATCTGTCTATTAGAATTTATACTTGTTGGTAAACAAACTTATTTTTAACAGTGTATAGTGAGGTTTTTACTTTGTAGGTAAACAAACTTAGTTTTACAGTGTACTGAGGTTTTGTACTTTGAAGGTAATCAAACTTAATTTTACAGTGTACTAAGGTTTTGTACTTTGTAGGTAAACAAACTTATTTTTACAGTGTACTGAGGCCAATTGTATCCTGTAGGTAAATAAACTTATTTTTACAGTGTACTGAGGCCTTGTATCCTGTAGGAAAACAAATTTATTTTTAACAGTTTACTAAGGTCTTGAAGGTAAACAAACTTATTTTAACATTATAGTATTCTAAAATAATAAAAATTAAATTCTAGGAATCTTGCTGGCGTTAGTTCCCGTCATTCTCATCCTAGTGGAGATAAGTTTTCAGGAACAAGAATTTGTTCCGCCAAAAACGGAATTTGTTCCGGAATTAAATCCGTCAAATTCTGATTTTATCTCGCCAAAAACATAATAATATGACATACAGTGAGAACCAGAAAAATCTAAAACAGGAAGACGACTTTTAACACAAGTTATGACTTTAAGTACTGCAATGAACTTGATACTGAAGCAATTGTGCTGTGTAGCCAGGCCTATTTTATTTAACAAGTGATTTAATAACTTACTTTATAGTAAAACCATTTTTTTTTGTGACACCATCCAGTGTCCTTCAGTAGTGCTTTATTGTCGTCTTCTTCTGCTCAGTGTCCTTCAGTAGTGCATTATTGTCGTCTTCCTCTGCTCAGTGTCCTTCAGTAGTGCTTTATTGTCGTCTTCCTCTGCTCAGTGTCCTTCAGTAGTGCTTTATTGTCGTCTTCCTCTGCTACGTGTCCTTCAGTAGTGCAACCTAATTAAGTGTGTCTCATTTTAGTATATCAAACAGTTATAAATGTGGTTTACACCATCATGTTGCAAAAATAAAAGGCTAGACAATTATATTTGGAGGCAAATGCTTATGTCCTAATTTGTTTTGTTCCATTTGCCGTGGTAAAAATTTATAAATTGTGATGAAAGATTTTAAAGTTTAGTTTTTGAACAATTAGAAGATTTCGAAATCCAAGTTGTGACCTCTGTTTATTTATCCTCCGCTAACTAAACTTTAAATATTCATTTTACGGAGGAAATTAATGTGCTAAGTGGGTCTTTAAATATTCTATTCCCTTTTCTACCTTGAAACTCTTTATTTTTTAATATTTAACGACTATGTTTTCATTTTTACCTTCACTTATCTAGATAAGATACGATAAGATAAACAGAGGCAGCCGTGGTACATTCGAATTTCCGAGCCGGGCCAACCATTCCGGTCCCAGTTTGTACTGTACCTAGGCTCTATGGACAGGACTAACTGGTGCAAGAAGGTTGACGCGGTCCGGCTTTATGCTTCAAATAGGTTTAATTTACTTTTACTAAAGGGGCAGAGGTGCGTGTAAAGTTCAATGCTAACGAGTTTACAATTACAAATTGATGTTTATACTAACTGTGCAATTATAAAGCAATTAAGTGGAAAATAGCTCTTGGCTGTTTTGATTATTTTTTCCACCTAATTTCAATAATGATAACAACACATTTCAATTAAATAGATTTAAGGAGAACTATTAGAGATCAGGGTGTGATTTTATCTTATGCAAAATAGTTTATACATTTACTAGACTTATTATTTTTTCAATATGTTTATCTAATAGCTTGAAATATATATTGTTTGTAGTAATTTTTCATTATGATTAATTTATAAAATTCGCATTATATTTTTTCCCCATGTTAATTTTTGTGCTTTAAGATTGAATATAAATTGTATTTAAAATGAAATATATATGGAATAAGGCATTGAGTTTTTGTTAAAAACTTACATTTTCGAATCCCTATATCTTTGCTATATATATTAATAAGAAGGGAGTAAATCAATCTATATTTTGTCGTTAATCTACAGTTCTGTCTCAGAGCGCAGGACTTATAGATTTATAACAATACAAGTAGAACACTAGATGTTGTCTTTTCAAGATTTAGGGGTTTTTGTTCACAATATTCTTTAGGCAGAAGGACAAATTAGTAATGTGCATGCCGCGTGGAATTACAATTACAAAGAGAGAGAATGCGCGTAACTCCTTTGACTTCTGCCTCAGGGATTTTGTGAATGAAAAACCCTTAAATCTTGAATCTGTATTGTTATTAATCTATGGTTTACCGTCTATACAAATTCATTTCAGGTCGAAAATAATTTAATTGAGAATTTAAATTTGAACAATAAGATATTAAATATGTATCATCGATCTGTGTGGATTAATGCAAGATCTGTGAATTTGTAAACGAAATGCTCTCATGTATATAAGACGTATTTAATAGGCGAAACAAAGTAAAATGGGTAGAGATTGATAGCGAATTTAATCCGACATCAGTCTATACCTCTTTCATTTTTCGCGAACACTCCCTTTAAGTTTGCGAAACTAAGGCCCAACGTTCACGTATTTTTCGCACATTAACATTAACGTTCATTAATATTGTATTTAAACAATTCGTAAAAATTCATGAATGCTAGCGTTAACATTAACATTGACTTTAAACAATTCGTGAAAGTTTATGATTGTCAGTATATAATGTCAACATTAACATTAACGTATAAAATATATCATTTCTGCCTACCATTTATTCTTTTAGCATTGACATTAACATTGACTTTAAACATTTCGTGAAAGTTTATGATTGTCAGTATATAATGCTAACGTTAACATTTACATTAACATTAACATTAACATTAACATTAACATTGACTTTAAATAATTCGTGAAAGTTCATGATTGTCAGTATATAATGCCAACATTAGCATTAACGTATAAAATATATCATTTCTGACTACCCTTTATTCTTTTAACATTAAATTTAACATTGAATTTAAACAAATCGTCAAAGTTAATGATTGTCAGTAAATAATATTAACATTAACATTAACATTAATTTGTCTTTAAACATTTCATGAAAGTTTATGATTTTCAGTAAAATGTTAACATTAACATTAACATTTAAATTAACATTAATATTAACTTTCAACCTTTAAAATTAATGGATATGAATGTTGAGAATGGACACAGGTTGGATTTGATTGTTGATCCTATTTGGATATGAATATTAAGGATTGATACAAATGTTAGTGTTTGATTCAAATGAGTTTTATTCATGGATACCAATAATGAGAATGGACACAAGTAGGATTTGATTGTCGATCATATTTTGATACGAATGTTAAGGATGGATACTAATGTTAAGGTTGGATTAAAACAAGATGTTATATTTATGGATATACCTTGGTTGGATTTGATTGTTGATCCTATTTGGATACGAATGTTAAGGATGGATACGAATGTTTGATTGTTGATAACAATAAACATATACTCCAGGGGGCCAGGGGGGGGGGGTTGCTCGGTCACTGCTCAGTCCAATTGCTATAGTGGGAAGGGGGGGGGGCGTGCTAATTGGCCGCTCCTCAATAGGGGGCAGGGGACTCAGCCACCAATGTGGGCTGAAACCCCCTGAAAATTAAAGCCTAAAATTTTCCAGGGGGGACTGAGCCCTCATAGCCCTCCCCCCTGAAACCGCCTCTGAGCTTAACAACAAGAAACTTTAAAGTTTAAAAACTGGTGAAACTAGGGCCTCGAGTACTGTAAAATCTGCAGAGATCCATTCTTGTATCTGCTGCATTTTTAAGTCACAGTTAAAATTATTGATTTGTAGATGGAAAAGCAGTTCCGCAAACATTTAATTGCTTCCTTGTTCGCAAATATAGCGCAATTGCGCACAATAAAATGGCGTAAGCGGAAGTAACCATTGCGCCCAATTCCGCGCAACGAAATTCCGATTGGAAACCCTACTTACAGTACACGCCTTCGGTTTGGTGTCACTTACACACACTCTTTTCGTACAGACAAACATACATAACGTTTCCGCCCCCTGCTTCGGACAAAAAGATTGAGAACAAGGTACGCACAACACAGTATACATTACAGGGTACACAAAAAAATAAAACTATTACATTTTTATTACATTTTGTTTATTTAATAGTCGAAATGTAGAGAGTGTCAAAGTAAAAATAGAAATATTTTAATATTTTAATAGTTCTTGGGACACTCTTTTTCACCTGTGTACGTACTCGTTCAACTCTCCGTAGAATTATTTAAGAACCAATTCTCTTTGTACGTACTCGTTCACCTCTTTGTAGAATTATTAAAGAACCAATTCTCTTTGTACGTACTCGTTCACCTCTTTGTAGGAATTCAAGATCAACTGCTATAAAAAGAAGGTTTATATCCGTCAATTCATTAGTTGAGGATTGAATCTGAAAGCATGAAGACAGGTTTAGGTAAAGTCTATGATAGAACATTTTTGACTATAATTAGTCAATATTTTACTTTGAATTATAATCGCCAATATTGGTATTTCCAAAATGTGGTCTGCCTAATGCGTGCTTTTAAATTAATTGACGAATTAAGATCTTAGCGCTTTTATTTTATATTGCGAAAATTTTGGTTTCATATAATAAATTCAATAAATATCTCCGGCATTATTTGCATATTCTCTTAACTTTCACGTATCGTGAATGAGTCTTTTTTTTTAAATCGGATCCGAACGGTTCAGCCGTTTCGACATTTATTGGATACAAACAGTAGGAAACAAACAGCTGGCCAAACCAAATAAATATATTGAACCTAGAAGTTATATATCCGGTTATATTTTTTCTAGTTTTTGTTTTTGTTCTTGTCGGAGCAGTTTCTGGATTTCGAGGAAACTTTAGAGATTATTACAGGTTTACAAGTTTTAGAAATACATTTTGAAATAATATTAACATCAGGTTGCAAAGATAAAAGGATTAAAGAATCAGTGTTTGTGGCAAGTTCATTTTTACTAATAATGTAAACAATGATTAGATTATGTATTTAATCACCCAGAAAAAAAAACAATGATATTTTCTAATAATTTTTTACAAATCTTAATTGATTTGTTTTTGCTTTAAACGAAGATTGAATTTTATACAGCCATAACCAGATAATACTGAAATAGGAAGACGACATTATATCAATACTTAAGTGTATTTGATGAGGTTAAAAAGCAAATGGTTTTACCAAGCACTTGTAAAATCACTTATTTTGGTAAATGGGTCTGTTTACACTGCACAATTACTGTGTTTCGTCGTCATTAAACTATTTAAAGTTAAAACTTGACTCTAGAAGTTCGAGTTTTGATCCAGATAGTTAGATAACCTTTACTTTCAAATTCGCGTTTTAAAGAACCTGTCAAATCTTTCGTTTTATAGAAGTTTTTAAAAAAAATGCAAAAAAAATCATTTCTGACACCCCTAGGCTTTGTACGCCAATATAATACACCAAAACCATACTGCAGTCCTTCATTTATCATACAGGGAAATTTCCATCTTTCTAAACATCCCAACGAAAGATTTGACAGGTTCTTTGATTTATATTTTTTTGTATTAAAAAAACGTAGGTAAAAACAACTTTACACTTTTGTTAAATTTAAAATCATATGTTTGGAGAAATTACAATTTGCCAATTATAAAGCTAGGATGCGGTAAAGTTTAAAAAAAAGCAAAAATCGTGATTGGTTAAAAGTGATTTCTACCAAGCACAGAGTAGATAATATTTATATTCGGTTCGACGCCATCATCAGTTCTATAGGAGAGGTTTCACCAATAAAGAAACTGAATTTTTGCCACAAACTAATTCCGAAATCTTTGCAGTCTGATCGACCTTAGACATTTCAAACTATGAATACTGTTAGATAAAAAAAGTTTGAAATATGGTTTACATTTTCTGGTTGCAAATGTATAAAAGTTTAAAAATTTGAGATTGTGAGAAAAACTCAAAATTCTTTTAAAAATGTTTAATGTAATAAAGCCCTTTGCTTATGTTAGCTGTAGCTGGCTAAACGGCTGGACCAATTAATTGGCTAATACATTTTTGAGAAACCAAGAGATAGGTTGAACAAAGGAATTGAGTCATTGCCACAAACTCTGATTTATGAATCCCTTTATCTCTACAACCCAATGTTGTAGACCTTAGATATTTCAAACTATGAATTCTGATGGATCAAATAATCAAAGTTTGAAATATCAAAGGGTTAGGCCATCTGGTTTTAGAGATATAGGTATTAGAAATTGGGATTTGTGGCAAAGACTCGATTTCTTTGATATTTTTTTCTCAAAATTGAATTTTTTTTGATTCTTTTGTTTTGTTCAAAGTTAAATATTTTTTATTTCCTAAGCTAGTAAAATAAACGGAGAAAAAAATTGTCTATTTTTTTAATTTAGGCAAAAATGCAGCAAGGAATCTTGGGACAATATTTGGAGATCAACAGGAACCGTTCCCAATAAACTCAGTCAGGTTTTATACTTTAAACCTTTAATCTATTATACTTTGCTTGTCTGTTTGTGTGTTTGTGACCGATAAACGTCACAACGGCTTATCCGATTGGGCACAAAATTCTTATGGAACTTCATATTTTCCCTAAGAAGGTTTATGGATGGTTAGAATTAAAAAAATTTGCCTTAAAAAATTTAAATTCAAAATCAACGAATAAATCAATATAAGATCAACAGTTTTAAGTCAAATCGAGGCTTAGTTCAAAATAAAATAATTCTTAATGGTAATGAAATGTTTTTTTTCAAATAAACATATTATATTCAATTCTAATATTAATGCTAGATGTTTCATTAATTTTATTATTATTATTGTTATTATTAATTATTATTATTATTATTATTATTATTATTATTATTATTATTATTATTAATTAGGGTTTCCGTTGAAATTTTCATGAACATTTTTTATTTTTGCGATATTTTCGTTCAATTTTTGCGCAACAAAAATCGAAATTTTTCCATTTCCATTCTAAATAATTTCACGAATTACGCAAAGATTTCGACCGAATTACGGAAAAATTTTGAACAAATTTTGCAAAAATGTCGGACGAATCACTAGAAAAATTTTTTAAAAGTTTTAGCTTTCGTTCACATTTTCATTGGCTGAACGAAATTTTCGCGAAAGAGATTGAACGAAAATTTGGAAACCCTAGTAATAATAATAATAGTAATGATATTAATAATTGTATGTAACACAGGCCGTTTTCAATTTTCAATTCAAAAATTCAATCTGCTTTACAAGAATAATTACTTAGATCTTTAAAAAAATCTTTATTATAATTATTATTATGTTTTTTTTCTTCAGGTTCCTGATGTGCCTTTATACATGGAAACGGCTTCTGGTACCAAGATATTTCCAAACCAAACCCTAGACACAGCACAGGTTAAGGGAACAAAAACAAGGGGTGCTTGGCTTCGAGGACAATGTTTGCGCATTATCCACCAATCAAAAATTAAAATATATTTTTGAATATTTTATTTAGCAAAAAAATTTACTTTAACAGTATTTTTATATAGTTGTTGAACAGACCTTCCTTCAAGTGGAATGCTGATCCCAATGCGTTGTATACACTACTCATTGAAGATAATGATATCGAACTTGGGTAGGTGACTGCAGTAATAAAAAGTCGGACATAATTTGAACTGAGCTAAAAACTTTAAAATGAGATATCCTTAGTTCCGATTACTTAATCTGAGTATCCAATGGACACACTTTTGATTTTCTTCTTAAACCGTTCTTTCTTGGATATAGCAGAGCAAAATCAAAAACCGGTTTTTCTAAATTAGAGAGTTTCTCCTATTTCTGTATATAATCTTAAATGGCGCGCAAAATTTCAAATTTATCGGCTTCATTGACGCGACTCTGATTGGTTTAATTTTATACACTTTTCAGGATACAAGTACAAGATTATGCTAGTCTCGATATTATGAAAAAGAGATGATCAATCATTAATCTCGATATCCACCATTCTAAAGTTTTCAGCTCTGGTAAAAGAAGATGTCTTGGTTTAAATCCTTTGCTTTAGATCCCGTTTTCACTCACAAAAGTCATTCACGTTTTTTTGGTGGATTTTCAAAAAATGAAATAAAAATTTGTCTAAGTTCATTGCTTAGCAAGAATCAGTGCTTTAAAAAACGTTAAATTCTCAATCACGAAAATTGACCAAACCTTGTCATTCTTTATATGTATTGTATGGTTGTATAATAAATCGACTTTTTAAGATGAATTTTTAATTTTTAGTTCGATCAAGTATGCTCATTTGCTGGTTACAAATATACCAGGTAAACTTTATTGTATTTATTAGAATTGTCGAGTCATATTATTCGATTCATGCAAGTTCTCTCACTCATCCGACCTATAGATAAAACTGACCCAACTGATGGGTTTTACAACTTGATATTGTATTAGATCTTAAACGAAGTTGTGATGGCTATATAATATTTAATTTCTAATTACTCGATAATTAGGTTTGATTTCTACAGGTCAGTTTGCATAGCATCCATTTTAAAGCTTTTTGTTCATGCGCAATATGAAGCGATTTAGATGATCAAGTGTTAATTATACCTAATAATATCTTCTCTGGGTTTTCTAATAAACTTCCATAGATGGAATTTAAAGAATTTGAGCCGCGGCTTAAATCCGCCAAAACCCGGTTTAAATTTAGCGCCGGCTTAAATCTTAAAACATTTGATACAATTTTAAGTGGAACCAACCAAATTTAAACCGCAGCTTTAATTTAAACCACCGCTCAAATTCTTTAAACTCGGCCACAGGTTTTTTATTCCATTTGAGTTACTTTGTTCTATACTTTGCATAGATTAACAAAACATTATTAATAAATCTCCTTCAACATATTTATAAATGAAAAAAAAATCAACTTTTGAAAAATTACATTATTTTTTGTTCCAGTTTCTATTAGTTTTAAAGAAACTATCTGAGCTTAAAACTTTTGAATGGTGGATATCAAATTATCAGTGCTTGTTCTCCTCTTTTTCTTAATCCCAGATTAAATAATGCTTGTTCTCCTCTTGTATTAAACTCCATATTAATTAACTGATCGGGATTCAGGATATCCCATTCTACAGTTTTCATCTCTGAGTATATTCCGTCCTTCTATCTGAATATTTTCCGTCCTTCTATCTGAATATATTCCGTCCTTCTATCTGAATATATTCCGTCCTTCTATCTAAATATATTCCGTCCATCTATCTGAATATATTGCGTCCTTCTATCTGAATATATTCCATCCTTCTATCTGAATATATTCCGTCCTTCTATCTGAATATATTCCATCCTTCTATCTAAATATATCCCGTCCTTCTATCTGAATATATTCCGTCCTTCTATCTGAATATAATGTCAGGGTCGAATGTGTATGGTGGAGACGAGGTGATAGAATATATTCCGTCCTTCACTGTGAATATACGGGATAATGAAAAACTAGAAACTAGAGTGAATATTACCAACAGGTACAGTAATAATTGCCCTGTAATTTAAAGGTCCCCAGCCCAGCAAAAATTTATGAATTTTGCCAATTATTTTTTAAAAACCAAAGCTTCCAACAAGTGCTTTATAGTGCTAAAATGTACATATAAAGGGCTACAGAAAAGCCTAAGTAAAATAAAGCGGTAAACTGCGATACTTCAAATTGATGAGACTTTTTATAAGCAGGCTGAATCTATGTGATTGTGAAAGGGACTGATCACGCTTATTTTCAAGCGATCCTTGATTTTAAGAGTGGCAAGTTTGATTCACAAATCACTATGGTATCCTTTCAGCCTCTTCCTGAGTAACATAAAGGAGTTTTTCTATAATAAAAACTTTAAAGATTCTTACTTTTCAATAAATCGTCTCTCTGTATCAACTTTTAAAGATTAATTGCAATTTCAAAAAATATTAATTAATATTAATAATAATGGAGGGTCTCTTGAAATTACGTCCCTACAGTTCCTTTAAGCTATGAACTACAATAGAATGAAAATACCATTTTAGGCATCTTGTTCTTGTGTACAAACAGCCTGGGCGGATAAATGTAAGTACTTTATTTGACGAATTAATCAATTATAATCATAATCCTTTCCTGATTTTGTTTTTTAGCGAAATCAACTAAATTGGGCAATAAAATAAGGTCCCAAAAAAGTGATAGATATTTTGTCAGCTTTATAGAATCAGTTATCACTTTCCCCCTCCCCCCCATAGAAATTTTTTTTTTTACTCCCAATCCAGAAGGATGCATGGCAATTAAAATAAACACAATAAAGCACATATAATAGGAACAGTAGAAATTATTTAAAAGATCTATTTCTTTTTTACATAAACTAATTTTTTAAAGTTAGAAATCTCTGAAGTATTGTTTGTTCTATTATCTGAACAGTTTATTTTATTTTCTTCCTTTAGTTTGATAAGAAGCAGTCTGGATGTAATCCTGAAATATTTTCTAACAGAATAATTGATCATGATGCTTTACAACAACAGTATGGACTACAGGTTAGTTTATAGAATAGAATAGAATAGAATGATTGATCATGATGCTTTGCAATAACAGTATGGACTACAGGTTAGTTTATAGAATAGAATAGAATGATTGATCATGATGCTTTGCAATAACAGTATGGACTACAGGTTAGTTTATAGAATAGAATAGAATGATTGATCATGATGCTTTGCAATAACAGTATGGACTACAGGTTAGTTTANATAGAATAGAATAGAATAGAATAGAATAGAATAGAATAGAATAGAATAGAATAGAATAGAATAGAATAGAATAGAATAGAATAGAATAGAATAGATAAAATAGAATAATATGGAATAAAAAAAGAAAAGAATACACATTAATAAAATATTCATTTTTTAAGCAATAATATTCCTTTTCTAAGCAATAATATTCATTTGCTAAGCAATAATATTCATTTTCTAAGCAATAATATTCATTTTCTAAGTAGATAATAATATTAATTTTTTAAGTATATAATAATATTCATTTTCTAAGCAATAATATTCATTTTCTAAGCAATAATTTTCATTTTCTAAGCAATAATATTCATTTTCTAAGCAATAATTTTCATTTTCTAAGCAATAATTTTAATTTTCTAAGCAATAATATTCATTTTCTAAGTAGACAATAATATTCATTTTTTAAGTAATACTGTTTACTGTTCAGGGCCCGGTTGCTGGAAACTTTTACAGGATTGGATATAGTTCCGGGAATACGGAATATTATATATGCTATCTTTCCGCTTGTACAGGTATTTATTAATTAAAGACTTTTTAATTTTTTTACCGCCTTTAACCAACTTTACAGACCCATGATTCCCCCCTCCCCCAACAGCTGGATGGTAAATTACTTAATTGTAGGACAATTTTACCAGAAAATAAAATAAAAATTTTCACTTAACCACGAGTTCCCTCAACCAATTTTGCTTGCAAAACATCCCTTGATGCGCTCTAGACGTTTTGTAGGCAAAATTGATCTTGGGAATCCTTAGTAAAGTAAAATTCCCTGAACTTCCCTGTAAAATAGTTGTAAATAATCATTTGTTTACCACGGGTTCCCTCGATACACAACCAAAATTGGTTTTGGGACCCTCCGTAAAATAAAAATCTCTTTACTTTCCTGTAAAGTAGGTATAAATAATTTTAACTCAAACCATCTTTCCAGGTAGACCACTCCCAGTCCTACTGAGCGGGATTAATGATAAACCATTATCAGAGTGTTAAATGACGAGGCCCAAGATAGAACACCAAGATAGAAGTTTAATTATATATAAGCATTATACAATATGGCAGGAGAATCGTTTATTAAATACATATATTTTCACTTTCATTTGATAACAAAACAATTTCACAGAAGTTTGAAATAAAGTAGAGAGATTGTTGCTGGTTTTTCTTAACCTTTAAAAGCTGCGTGGGAGGGAGGGGGGGGGGGGGGGGGGGTTCCAGGGGGATTCAAGAGACAAACCAAAATTGGAGTGGGATATGACGTATAATTTCTTCTTTCATAGAAAGGGTAATTTCCTTTCTGGAATTTATTTGCTGTTATCGCCGATACTAAAAAAAATAAATATATATTAAAAAATCAACAAACAATAGCAGAACAGGGTGTTGTAAGATTTAATACTTTTTTATATGGCCGAAACCTCCTACGTTTTTTCTTTTTGTATAACTTTCAATATGGATTAAACACTTATTAATCTGTCTTTGTCTATCCATCTATCCATCTATCTTCATTGTCTATTTCATTTGAGTCTTCTATTTTATGTCAAGGTAACAGTTATTGGTAACACACTTATCTAGTTTACCTGGAATTGATAAACTCAGATTTTAAACCAGAATTTATGCTTGGAATATTCCTAGACTTAAAGAAAGCTTTTGATTGCTGTGATTTAGACATACTTTTAAAAAAGCTAAATCATTATGGTTTCAAAAATGTGGCCAACACCTGGTTTAAAAATTATCTTGTTAATAGAACTCAATATGTATGTAAAATGAAGCTTTTTCAACAGAAAGAATTATAACATGTGGTGTTCCTCAAGGAAATGTTCTAGGGCCCCTGCTGTTTCTGCTTTATATAAACGATTTGCCCCTAGCAACATCTTTTTTTACCAGCCTCTTTGCAGATGATACTAGTTTTTTAAAGTCATCTCCTGACATTGCAAGCCTAATACTTGATGCAAACACTGAACTAAAAAAAGCAGCAAAATGGTTTCAAGCAAATTGTTTGTCACTAAATGTCTCCAAAACAAAATAGAAATAGAAATATGCACTTTGACACCAACAGTTGTAATATATAAATAGGAAATGAGATACTTGAGATACTTGAAAGGATTAGTAATGACTGTGTGAACAAATATTTCAAATTTGTTGAACTTAAACTTGACGAATTTTTAACCGGGATTTTCAAATTGAACATATCTCGAATAAAATTGCTAGCTCAATCTTTGCTTTGTCTCAAATTAAGAATATCGTCTACTTATTTACAACTCTCTTGTAAGGCCTCAAATTGAATATGGAATTGTTACCTGGGGAGGGGTTAAAAACTCTAAACTGCAAAAAATTAGATCTTTGCAAAAAATAGGCAATCAGAGATGGAATTTAAAGAATTTGAGCCGCGGTTTAAATCCGCCAAAACCAGGTTTAAATTAAATTAAATATTGAAACATTTGATACAATTTAAAGTGGAACCAATAATATCTAAACCGCGGCTTTAATTTAAACCGCCTCTCAAATTCTTTAAATTCGGCCACAGAGCGGTTAATAAAAGTACTTTCAAGGCACATTCAAATCCATTATTTTCAAAACTGAAAGTTCTTAATCTTGATGATACATACAAACTTTGTGTTCTGACATTTATGCATGGATACTTTAATGATAACCTTTCCTCTTCCTTCTAAAATATGTTTAAGTCTTTAGCTGAACCGAATAGAACAAAATCATATAAATTAGAACGGGTTTTAAACAAAAATTTAGAAAGCTTTCCGTCCGCAATGTTTCCTGAATTGTGGAATGAAATTGAGAATTATGAGAGGTTTAAATGCGAAAAACCTAGCTGTATATCGTGTGAATAATTTTTATATAAAAAAAAACTAAAATAACTGAAACTTTATTAGCTTATTTCTGTTTCTGTAACTACCATCATTAACACCCTGTATTTTAATCATCTCAAAATAAAAATCCTTTATGAGATGCCGGTAGATTATTTTCCTAATGTTCAGGGTTACCCGACTTTATTATAACCATTAATGTGAATTTGTAGATTTTCGAAGCGTTACTTGTTGATCCTGTATCCTCTATAAGGATAGGATAAATTACTTTTGAATACTGATTGATACAGATTAGATAATACTAAAACTGACTAGTTCATGAGCAAAGACGAAAAAGGGGGGATTAAAAATCCTTGCTATATGCTAATAATTCAGCTAAGTATCTAAAATGATAAAATGTTTCGAAAAACTGTAAAATGAAATTTTATAAGACAAGTTTTCTGGTTTGTTTGTTTCTTTCGGAACTACTTTTTTGTGAGAATTAATTTCATGATTCGAATTATTAAAAAATCACCAAAGAAGATAAGAAAAGTCCGAAAAGTTTGGAATTTAAAAGCTTCTAAATAGATCATGAAAAGGTAAGGTAAGGGTTTTAATTAAAATTTTATAGAATAAAATAGACTGATAACTTTAATAGTTTGGGCGCTAAGGACGGTTGAAAAAAATGCCTAAAACGGGTACAAAAAATTAAAATGTTGGTTTTAAACAAATCTCAAAATGTGACATGTTTCGACATGCATTTTTCAAGAGCTTTTTAAAAATAGTTCTGTAGCTTTAGTCACAAAAAAGTTATAGGTTATAATAGATTTTTTTACAGACCGGAATTTTTTCCGCCCTGCACCCTACCCTATAAATAAAAAATAAATAAATTAACAAAAAATCCTTTAAATTACTATTTATTAAAAGTCAAAACATTTTACGGTGATAGTGTCAAAATGAGAGTGCTAGGACAAAAAGACTACAGGGTGGCGCCAAACGCCCCCCCCCCCCGACCGGCCTGTTTAGGGTTAAAGAAATAATGGAGACCACTTTGGTAAGAGACCTGCTATTTTTATCAGAAAACCCAAAACTTTGAGTAGAGACCAACAACTTTTATCGAAAGCACCAAAACTTTGGTTAAAGACCAACAACTTTTATCGGAAACCCAAATCTTTGGTTTGAGATCAACAAATTTGTATCGGAAACACATTTCTTTGGTTTGAGATCAACAAATTTGTATCGGAAACACAAATCTTTGGTTTGAGACCAACACCTTTCATCGGAAACCCAAGTCTTTTATTAGAGACCAACACCTTTTATCGGAAACCCAAGTCTTTTATTAGAGACCAACAACTTTTATCGGAAACCCAAAACTGTGGTTAGAGACCAACAACTTTTTTGGAAACCCCAAAATATTCACTGAAAACAAATAATAATAAAAAATAAAATGTCGATAATTCCTCAGAGCTTAGTTTTGATTTGATGAAGTTTGAAAAAAGTAAATATTAACATATTAGTATAAACTCTAAACAGTTGTGTTGTTCTCAATAGCTCTTCATTCCGGAAATAGAAAATTAAATCATAAAAAAATTTTATCTTACGTTTCTGCCTTTTGATCAACATTCTACCTATGAATCCTAAAACAGAGGGACGTTAAGTTACTTAACGTTCATTTAGACAATTAAGTAAAATCACCACTCGCTCTGCAAAGTTCTCGTGCAAAAAATCGCGCATTTTCAAAGAGAGCATTAAATGTGAATGATGATGATATAATATGTAAATAAATATGTACTGTATATATCTTTATTTTTATTTTGTTCTGTGTATTTTCTCTAAAAATTGAAGTATTTACTGGCGAGATGCCAGGGTTAGTTTTTGAAGGTCTTCGCAGTCTAGTCAATTTACTTGAGCGTACAGGATACAGGATATATAACACAGGATACAGGCTACAGGATACAGGCTACAGGATACAGGCTACAGGATACTGGCTACAGGATACAGGCTACAGGATACAGGCTACAGGATACAGGTTACAGGATACAGGCTACAGTATACAGGATACAGGATACAGAATACAGGATACAGAATACAGGATACATTATACAGGATACAAGATACAGGATACAGGATACAGGATACAGGATACAGGATACAGGATACAGGATACAGAATACAGGATACAGGATACAGGATACAGTATATATAACACAGGATACAGCCTAAAGAATACAGGATACAGGATACAGAATACAGATATGCGTTTGGTTTGTTCTACTTGAAAATACAATATAATTAAATCTTTTCAATAAAGCTCTTCGCTTATATAAATATGTATATTTGTTCGCTATAGCTGGCCAAAACCTGAACCAAATTTGCCTGAATTCTTGTTTTCAAAATTCTAATTAATCAAAATGTGTTAAAACTCCACGGGCAACGCCGTGCACCTCAGGTAGTAAATAATACTCTTTAAAATACATGAATGATATGATATTTATTTTTCCAGATTAAGTAGAATGTAAAGAACGAAAACGCTCTGAAAACATGAGATCTTTAGAAGGTTTTCAGGTAATATAGAAATAATATTGATAATAATTTGGCACTTGAGGTTACATCACTAACTCATGTATAATTTTTTGAAGCCGCCCCGAGGCATGTACATTTAGGAACAATAAGCATTTGTTATAGTTTATAAATGCTTAACGATTTTTGTGATTTTGCAATTTTTGGATAACAAAAAAAATGGGCGGAAAAAAGGATTTACAACATAATATTGGAAAACTAATATGTGTCAAACCTTGAATTCTGTTATATGAATTAATCTAACTTTTACACCATCAGGTTTCATACATATAATAGGGATTTGAACATTTGAGTTTTTGGCCAAAACTCAGTTTCAAACAGTTAAAAAGTAAATAAAATGTTTGATTGATTTTCTAATGGTGGAACACAAAAAAACATTTCTTATTCATTTAACGATTTAGAATTTCTCCTATTAGTGTGATCGCAATTGGCACATACGTTAAGCAGACAAATTTTTTTTACGCGATTTAATTCGTATTATGCCAAAATGTAACAAAAAAAAAAAACTAAACGTTACAACCATGGTGTTACAGGTAACTATGTATGTTGTGTATAGTTTAAAATTTTATTTTCATTTTCATTAACTCAACCAATTCATTTTGATAAATGTCTTTTTTGGTAAACTGGGAAATTTCAAAAAACAAACCGGTTTATGAAAATATTTAAACTATTTTTGGTTTGTTTACAAACTACAAATTAGATTGGACAAATCTAAGGAGATATAGAACACAAGGTACGGGCGATGGGATTTGCGTACACTTAGCTGTCACGTTTTTGGGCTGCTGAATCATATTCGTCCTATTCGTCATATCAATCACTTACTTTCAACAAGATTCACCGTTTACTAACTCATGCTTACATTAATCGGCTGCCTTTGTTATTGTTATTATACGCAGAAACTAGTTCTTCGGCAGTTCAAAAACTTCAAAGCAACGTGTACGCAAATCCCATCGCCCCTACCTTGTATTCTATATCTCCTTGGAAAAATCATACTTAGGAAATATTTATTAGGATGGATTGTTACAACCTGAGAATCTGTTTACTATATGTACAAATACCATCATTAGAAAGTAAACTATAATTTAGATAATTTGATAAAAAATAATTTTTTTTCAGGAAAAATCTAAAATCTAAATATTAACAAGGTACTAATGCAAGGAATGTTAATTGCGGTACCGTATTTATAAACAAGAATAGATGCATCAGTGTTCGTCTAGTATCCGAGGAGGATAACAATTTAATTTTGATAATTTTAAAATTCACATAATTGTTTCAAAGATTATTTTTGTGAAAATGGATTCCATGTCAGGCTTCGACATCCGTCTTGTGTTTACTTTTCCGACCAAAGACAGTACACTGCAGTGCAAAAAATGTGTACACCTCTGAAATAACTTTCCTTGCATAAGTACCTTAAATATTTGTATGTGGGTGTTAAATCACGAAAACTGGATATTTACACCAACTACCTTAAAGGGGCTGTAAAGGAAAAATGTTCGCGACCCATGAAAGTTATATCTTATGTTCCTGTATCGAGAAATTGATATAAAACTGTGCCAAATTTATACGAAAATTCATATATATACAATTTTGTATAGGAATGGTAGGTTTAAACAGATCATATTCACCAAATACGCAAACAATCTGAAAACAAAGTTATCCCAGTAAAACCTAATTGTAACATAGGTTTTCTCCAATTATTTTTTTATTTTTTATTTTTATTTTTGATATAAATAATTGATAATATCATTATTATTATCCAAATTACGTCACAAGAACTCCCACCAATGAAAGTGCAGTAAACTGGTCACGTGATCCATCAGAGAAACATGACCACTAAATTTTTATATCAATTTTTCAAGACAGGAACATCAGATTTAACTCTCATGGGTTGTGATAAAGAGCTATAAAGTGATTAGCTTTCAGCCTATACCCCCTTTCATTTTTCCTTTACAGTCCCTTTAAGGTAGTTTAAGCGTACTGCAGGACTGCATATTTTTTTCCTTTTTTCAAACTAAATCTCATTTTAGGCCCACCTCTCTTTGCAGGAATACGTGGGAAGACAAATTGGCGCAAATTAAAACAATTTTGTAATGTAATATTTTATCTATTTATGCAACTGCCATGTTATAATACGGTACGTGAGGTATTTAAAGGCGTACATTTTAACCTACAGGGTGTCCCAAAAAAACATGGGAATTCAGTGACGAATTCGATAACGTCTTTATAAATAATTTTTTGATTTAGTATAGTGATACCTACTGAGAAAGCTGTAATCTATAAGATTTTCGTTTGCTATGTTTACAATTTGTTTGTTTATGTTTTGATTGCATACGGTTGTACTAGTAAAACAAGAAAATTACAGGATACAAACAGACTAAACTTGTCCGTCATCACTGTTCATCTTTCGGAGACATTAAAGACACATCTTTACAGCCATGTACCCTTTTCATGAAATACACTCTAGCAGACATAATAATATTATGGCTTTTGAAATTAGGTATTACAATGCTAATTTATAACAAAGACGATATCGAATTCGTCAGTGAATTCCCATGTTTTTTTGGGACACCCTGTAAAACAAACTAAATTAAGTAAACAACCCGACCAAAACATAATGTCCCAAATTATACATATAAGGCAATTGCTTACATAATTTTTTTACTTTTTTAACCCGAAAAGCCTCGAAAAAAAACTTTGAAATCCGCAATTACTTAAAGTATTTCCATTACATTTACATTAGTCATGAGATTTAGGTATGATACAGTTATATACCTTAAATAAGCCATACATAGACAGAAATCATCAAATGTCGTATTCTTCACTTTCTGATAACGGAATGTTGCAAATATTTAGTTTTTTTAATCGTTGGTTATATGGAGCTCTTTAAAAATGTTCACTCATATGCCTTATTTATTTTCGCAAATACTGAGATTTACGTAAAATTGTTTAATAACCATTGAAAAATTTGTCAAGACGACATTTGATAAATTCTTCGATATCTCCAAAGCTCTGGGTTAAACTTTTTTTTTAGGTTACTGGCTCCCCTTGTTCCTGTTTCCACACTTGATAATTCAGATTTAAAGACTAGCTGCCAATGGAATATCATTACACAGGTTTAATACGGGGTCGGAGTTGGGAATTTATGAAGACAGAGGTTCAGTTGAACTATGTACGGCCGATACACTGCTCTTCGGACACCGAGATAAACTTGAAATTATGATTAAAACGAAATAATAACGCCGAACTACCATTTCAACTTGTATAGCTTCTCAAGTAAAAATGCATGAGAAGCTATACATTGTACAATTGCTATGTTTAATTTTCATTGGACAACAGGGAGACCCACAAAGGATGAGAATTTAGTGACGAATTGAACTGTTAAAATTGTAACGTGCTGAAGTCTAACCTTTGTATATGATTTAAAATGATTCAACAAAAAAAAAGAATTAAAGAAAAAGTTTGCCTAAATTCCGTACAGTCGAATCTTTAAAGTCTCATCTTTTTCTGGGCAACACAGTACTAAAGAAAAATCATAATCCGAGTTTTCCTGTCGTCTTCCTCTTCCTACGTATTCTCTTCTTTTCTGCTTCACAAATTTTACTCTACAGCTATACTGCGAAATTTCCTATTAAAACATTGAGACCTCGTGTTTTCTCTAATTTGAATGTACGCACAAGTACGACTACGAGATCAGAAAATTTGTAGACCTTTATAAAAACTAGGCTTTTAGGACGCTTTGCGCTCATCTTCTATTATAATTTTGAACATTTTCTCTTTGTTTACATATTGTAAAACAAAACAAAAACAAAATTCGCGGATTTGAAAAATGAATATTTCGTGGATTTTTTAAATTTATTGAAAATTGAATTTTTTGGGCCAATTTTTAACATTTGATCATCCATAAACCTTTCCTGGGATCATGTTAGGTCCCACACCAAATTTGGAATCTATGTAAGAAAGTCCCGGGAAAAGAAGTTTCTGGGAAAAAGTCCGAATTTTCTCAAGTCCTTGGAAAAAATGTCACTGGAAATAAAGTCCTGTGTTTTGGATTCCTGGGACTTTTTTTCCTAAATTAGTATGGGGCTGCCAATAAAGTCTCAGGAAATAAGATCTCAAGAAAAAAGTTCTGAAGAAAATAAATCCGAGGAAGAGAAAAATCTAGAAAAAAAAGTCCTAAGTCTCGGGGAAATTTAAACTCAGTAATTTAAATCTACGGAAAAAAAGTCATAAGACAAGTTGCGTATAAAACACAATTTTTTGTTCATTTACATTAGAGAAAATAAGGCCAATTAGTAGAGTAAATGTGGCCGATAAGTCTATGTGCAATTTGGAAAAAGAGGTTTTCAAAAAAAGGACTTTTTTCTATGTTCAATTCGGAAAATGAGGTTAAGTCAGAGAAGTTTTCATAAAAAGGACTTTTTTCCATATTGAATATATATATAGCCAGGGGTGTTTAAATATCAAGCCCCTAAAACCTACGATTATTGATAGGATGTTTATAACCAGGACTTTTTTTCCATTGTGAATCATGCAGTTTCACTTGTTAGAGGACTTTTTTTCCATTGTGAATCATGCAGTTTCACTTGTTAGAGGACTTTTTTCCATTGTGAATCATGCAGTTTCACTTGTTAGAGGACTTTTTTTCCACACAGACACACACCCAGACACCCAGACAAGCCAAATTTATATATAGATTTAGATGAAAGTAAATAAAATGTCTAGGTATGTCGACACTATCTGTCCAGTCTACCAACCAACCTGAACACTGCTATACTAGATCAGGCCCATGCAATATTTGACAACCATTTTGGTAAGTCTTGAATAGGAAGGGAGGAGGGGAGGAGAGGAGTGATATTATTCTTGAATTTTAACTACAACGAAATAACTTTATATTTGCTACTAGCTGAAGTGCATGGGGTTGCCCGTGGAATTTAAAAAAATCTATTTTTGAAGAAAAAAGATTTTTGAAAAAAAAATCTAGTTTTTTAGTCTATGTTACCCCTAGGGATACCTAGGCTCCCTAAAAAATTATCACCCAATTTGGTCCAGTCGTTTTTATATGAGCGAAAATTATTAAATTATATATGATAAGTATAAAAGTTGCAATCTCTTTACCACCTCCTTAGTTATTATAGAGAAAATAGTCTTAAGATGAAAAAATGTCTAAAAAAAATGTCTCCAATTTTTCGATCAGATTGCTTGTCAAAAACAAACTTGTTTCTTTAAAACACTAAATGAACTATTTATTTATTAGAATTTTATGCTTTCTTACTTAACATCATAAATGACAAAATTTTCGTATAAATTTGACAAAGTTATATATAAATTTCTCGAGATGTAAACATCAGATATTACTTTCATGGGTCGCGATCAAGAGCTAAAGTGATTAGCTTTCAGCCTATAACCTCTTCCATTTTTCTTTACAGTCCCTTTAATATTAAATTACTTTTAAATTACACTCTACAATTACTGTGCCTCCTGTTCGTTAGACTATTTTAAGTAACTTGTTTCTAAAAGTCAACTTTCTATGCCAGAGTTTTCTGGTTGTCACTGTATGAATGATACCATTTAATGGTTGACTCATGAATCTAAGCTGCCAAGAAAAAGAATGAATTACGAGAATTTAACTCTTTAAGTTAAAAAACGATGATATCTCCCCCGTCCCAAAGGAGTTACGCGTAGTCGGCGACTACCAAGATAGTGAGAGAGCCTGTTCTACGCCGAGCGGCCGAGTACGTATAACTCCTTTCAGCTCTTCTGCCTCAGGGTTACTGTAACCGAATCATACATGAATCTTGAAAAGACGACATATAGTGTTCTATTTGTTATATTAATTGATGTTTAAAGAGGGTACATGAAGCTCTACACATGAAGGGTCACTTACAATTACGTGTCTAGTCCCTTTTACGATCAACTTTAATATTTGATCTCTATATAATGACAAAGTGTGTAACCAAAAAAGACTTGTCATCTATCTATATATACAGGGTGTCCCACGAAACATGACAGTCGAATGTCTTCTTCAATATAATGTATTAGATATTAAAGACTTGTTGTAGTTTATTTTGTTTAAAAAATATTTTCCTTAAATACATTTTACTTAGAAATGAATATTACTGTAAGATGACTCCCATACAATATGTTGTATTATTCTCCTTGGTATCAAACAACTTAACAACTTATGGAAGAAGACATTTTTGAACCATTCACTAACTGTCATGTTTCGTGTGACACCCAGTATAAAGTAAATTTCTGTTTGTATATCTTATCAAATTTTGATTGGGGAAACTCGATAGAAACATGGCAAAGTTCTTAGCTTGGTTTTCAGTTTTTAATTCCAAATACTTTTTTAGATGTGAATAAATTGCTTCTTGTGGTGCTCTCCACTTTGGGTGAGTTTTAAGTTAATTTTTCTTGCGCACAATTGCGAGTCCTCTAATTTCGCACAATTTCGCGCAAAAAAATTCCGATAAGACATTACTGGGCAAGTTGAATCTTATAAAATGTCTCTTTTTGTGTGCGGGAGAGTTCATATGCCCAAAATATTATGCTCTATTACATTTAACTCACAAAAAAAGAGATGGTTAATTGGTGTACCGTCCTGTTTTGACGCCTAATACCCATACGAGTACTGAACGTACTACTTGCTCTAGCTGCTTTCAAGTCTATATGGTACTTTAAATGAACCAGAGTTTTTAGTGCATATGAACATGAAATCAAATGTATCTTAAATGATCAAGGGAACGAAAGATCCAGAATGAGGGCCGTCAAAAGTCAAGACTTGTGCAACCCAAGTCATAAATGCCTGCATTCAAGGTCGGTTGCGGGGGATTCGAATTTAATGCCTTCAGAAAAGTTCATCGCGGTCCAAGATTCACAAATTAAAAACTATTTGAAACAAATCTGGGCTAATTATGAAATATAACTTTCCGTAAAAAATTAAATATTAATAATTAATCTAAAATTATTTTCAGGAAACTCTAAAACCGAAGTTTTGAAAACCCCTGTTTATCTTTATTCTAATAAACCTGGAAGAAAAAGGTAAAACTTAATTTCTCACTTTACTGTACATTCCCTTAAAGGGACTGTACTTGTAATTTTACAACGGTATCCTTAAAAGCTTTGTCTGATCAGGTATAAATTGCCAATCCAAGTTTATAATTTGAAAAAATGATTATTTTCCGTTGTGGTTTCTCTACAAAAGTGAATTGCACATTTCTACTGCAGGAAAACATTTAGAAATTATCAGAATTAAACACTTTTAGACCTAGAAAAACTACATTTCAAAGAGATAAAGGGTAAATCGGGAATTATCCATTTATTTTTGCCTCAAGATCCTTTTAAAATTACACTTACAAGTTAGAGTCCCTTTAGTTTCCTTTAATTTGAATCTATTAATTTGAACGAAAACAAGTTTTTCTCTTGTTAATTTGATTAAACTTTTTTATTAAACTATTGTGTATTGTAATTCTTATAATTAATTTGATAACGGACATTCTATCGCACAATCATCGTTCTATTATTTATTATTAATAATAATCATTATTTTTGATATTATTTATTTTGATATTATTCATTACAAATAATAATTATTATTTTTGATATTATTTATTTTGATATTATTTATTACTAATAATAATTATTATTTTTGATATTATTTATTTTGATATTATTTATTACTAATAATAATTACTATTTTTGATATTATTTATTTTGATATTATTTATTTTGATATTATTTATTTTGATAATATTCATTACTAATAATAATTATTATTTTTGATAGCTTTTATCACTCGGCTGATATCGGCATTCCATTATAATGCATTGCATAATGTTCTATAATGTTAAATTAGCTGTATATATACTATGGCACGTACTCTCCATTATAATGCATTGCATAATGTTCTATAATGTTGAATTAGCTGTATATATACTATGGCACGTACTCTCCATTATAATGCATTGCATAATATTCTATAATGTTGAATTAACTGTATATACTATGGCAAAGTGCTATATAAGTAAAGGCTCGACTTGTTTTCATTTTGTTCAATTGTCATTTGTCAACGACCCATTTCGTTTGGTTTTCTTTTTCAATCGTTAAAAAAAAAATTTTTGTTCGTTCTCAAAGAATCTTACATTTTCCATCTATATTGTTTATTTTCTCACAAAACGATTTTTCAGTAAAATCGTTTGTTCCATAAAATCTTTCGAAAAACTTCATTAAAAAATCGCTAATTAAGTTTATTTCAATTTTGTTTTAGAAAATCGTTTGTTTAATAAAAAAAAACTATAATATAGCTGTTTAAAATTATTCGCTTTTTTGTTTGTTTTTAAAAAACGATAATTTTTTCATTTCTCTGAGCGACTCATATTTTGTTAGTCCCGCGTTTTTTTATGAATGACAATCTCTGCAACGAAAAATAACGTTCCTTCAAAAAAAGGAAGCCCATCTCTTCAGAGAATTTTAAGGTTCCCGGATTTTCTTATATTTTTAGAAAAGATTTTCGATTAGAATTGATATAAACAATTTTACTTTCTTTTTTTACTTTGTTAAAAATATTTTAAAACCTAGCACTTACCATTGCATCAAGGCAAGCACTTTATAAAATTGTTAAATTTTTTTTAAAAATGTTTAAAATGTTTAAAATGTTGAGATTGTTGGAAAATCTATTGGATTCTGATTGTGTTGAAGTGTACAAAGAGGCCCATCTAGATATGTACAATTTCTATCACAGGTGAGTACACTGTATAATACATGTACTTCAAAACCCGGAGGTTTTAAAACGGAATAAAAATAAATTATCTTTATCAAACAACCTTAAAAAACACAGATAGCAAGTTTTGGTCCCAAAACTCATCCTTTAGATTTGAACAATGAGTTTTTAAACCAAACAAAAAAAATAAATAAATAAAGTTTTTCTAATATTTTAGTTAATAACAGACTCTAAAACAGTCTCTTATCCTGCTGAAAAATACATAATGTGACCAAAATGTTTAATTTTGTTCAGACCTGACTTGACTTTATCCTGGAGGGATGATTTAGAAGACGAATTTCAGCTTCTCAGGTTATACAGGGTGTCCCAAACATGGGAATTAAGAGACGAATTCAAAATCGTCTTTGTCATGAATTTGCGTTGTTTTACCTAATTTCTTAACTCTAGCAGACGGATTACAGATTTCCTTGTGTTCGTCAATTTGATCCCCCTGTAGTTTTTTTTACATAACTCAAACAGTATATATCTTATCATTTTTTAGACATTTTTTTTTTGCTGAAATTTTTAATCTTTAATTGGATTTTGCAAGAAAAATTTTAATTTTTGCAAATTTGCTTTCTTTGCAGATTCTAAAAGTAGAGCATAAGAGCTTTCCATTGCTGTATCATTTGTCATATTTGGACATCAAACATAGGATTTAGGTTTTCAAGTACCCCAGCAGGGATAGGGTTAAAATAAAGAATTGTTGTCCTTGTGATGCTTAATAAAATGTTGGTTGTAGCTTATACTATCGACTTTTACTCTCAATATGGGCCGGGATCCTAAAATCACCAGTATTTATATTTGTGCCCATTTCTAACACTCAGTGTAAGAAATGGGCCAAGTATTAGTTTTGGAACTAATGTTCCCTTTATTGTATTTGTATGAGCCTGAAATCATAAACGTCAAACGACTGAACGATCGTATTTAATATTTGATATCCTGCACAACTCGAGTCGAGTAGAACAATCTTATTTTTATAAATTCAAATCGTTTGTCATTCAATTTTAATGTTTATTGGGAGTATTTTTTTGCTATAATTTATTGTAAAAAGACAAAAAATAAGTTCACGGATGTCATAAAAAAATTGTGGATCTAAAATTTAATAAAAATTGAATTTTGTTGGAGGCACATTTTTGAAATTATGATCAATTTATCCAGTTCTCTACTCAAATATTTATACTAACTTTTTGCTCTTTGAAAATTAAAAAATCTTTAAAAATGTTACATAAGAAAAAAGGAATGAATATCACTAAATCAAGTTAAAAGACGAATTGTAAAATATAACCGAATGTAAACACCATTGATGCAAAGCCTCATGTTTAAAAATATCTATTAAAAACCAATTATAACTATAAAATATCCTTAAAGATTTCGTGAATCAAATTAATTTTTTTAATATAATTTTTACATAAGATTTATATAATTTTTATATAAGGACAATTTTGTTTTATGCTTCCAGTTCTCTACTTAAATATTAATTCTAACTTTTTAATTTTTGAGAATTAAAAAATCTTCAAAAAGAGAATTTACATAAGAAAAAATGAATGAATATTATCTAAATCAAGTTAAAGACGAATTGTAAAAAATAAATCTGAGTGTAAAAACATTTTTTTAAACATTTAAAAAGAAATAATTATTTACAACTACTTTACAGGGAAGTTTAAAGGGAATTTTACTTTACTAAGAGTTCCCAAGACCAATTTTATCTATTACAAAACATCCAGAGCACAGTGAGGGATGTTTTGTGGACTAAATTGGTCGAGGGAACCCGTTGTTAAGTAAAATTTTTAATTTCCCGAAAAAGAACGGGTATTTATTTTACATAACTGTCCGAAGGGACGTTAAGTAATCTAACCTCCCTCTGTTGGGGAAATCATAGGTCGGTAATGTTGGCGAAAAGGCGGTAAAATATATGGTCTTAAAAAATCTTTTCCCACTCATGGTAAACTAGAAGTCATGGTTCTACAATTTGTTGGTTCCCACTCACGGTAAATTAGAAGTCCTGGTTCTACAATTTGTTGGTTCCCACTGACGTTGAACTAGATGTCCTGGTTCTACAATTTGTTGATTCCCACTCACGTTAAACTAGATGTCCTGGTTCTACAATTTGTTGGTTCACACTCACGGTAAACTAGAAGTCATGGTTCTACCATTTGTTGGTTCCCACTCACGGTAAACTAGAAGTCCTGGTTCTACAATTTGTTGGTTCCCACTCACGGTCTTTTTCAAAGGTCCAGTGAGTTTTGTACAGTGCAGTAGTTGAGTCCAAAACCCTTGTTTATCTTATATTTTGTACTTTAACATAGTTTTGAAGATATGTACAATGTACATACAAGTTTACTCTAATCTGCTTTTAGCATAATTATACTCCAGCTCCTGTATCTATATTCAAGACAGGGAGGATAGTATTGAAGAGCAGGGATAATTATACTCCAGCTCCTGTATCTATAATCAAGACAGGGAGGATAGTATTGAAGAGCAGGGATAAATCTTGAAATAAGAAAAGTAAATACATTGAACTACAATGTCTTTTGGACGTTAAATCCCATTGTTACTCATTTAATGCACTTTTTTCGTATTTCCTACTTTATACTTTTTGCTGGGCTGTGTAATTTAAAGATTTAAATACAAAATGACGTCTCTAAGACTTTCACGCTATTTGGAACGGATTTTGAATGAACGAGCAAAAGGTCTGGAAATGTTACAACCAAAGCTGGAGACTTTTCTGTTAGATACCATAAATCCCATTTGCTTAATCTCAATATACACTATGGACACTTTGATGTTAATCCTCCATTTTGGATATCCTCGCTTAGTTCCGACCAATCAGAGTTTGATTGGTTGAATCTTTAAAACTTTCCTTAATATCAAAATAAAAAATATATTAATCTGCAGAAATTAGCAAACAAGGAAGATCAAGTATTTATCTCAAAATCCACAATTCAAAAGTTGTTCAACTGAGAATGTACTTCATTGTTGTTAGACTACGTGTATTGTATATTTTCTAAGGTTGAGTTTATCTGACGATGAGACTCTCCTTGTTCATCAGTTTCTAGAGAGAAGCGTAAACCTGACAGTCCTCTCTATACATACTGTAGCAACCAATCAGATGCTCTCAATTATCAGGTAGTTCTTACAACCATCTCTATATATACTGTAGCAACTAATCAGATGCTCTCAATTATCAGGTATGGTCCTTACAACCATCTCTATATATACTGTAGCAACAAATCAGATGCTCTCAATTATCTGAGCAAAATAAGGGAAGATATCGTCGTTTTATGTTCTTTGAATCTTCTGCATAACCAGTCCACCCCCCCCCCTTTGAAATAAAATATGGAAATTAGAAATTAGAAAAAAACGAGAATGTGGTTTACTTTTTTTTTAGCGCAGATAAATATTTATAGGGTACACTTCATATGAGTTCAATAGTTGCATGCTCTACAGTGCATTGTGAATATAAGTCATTTTTTTCATTAGATTTCCACTTGGACATACGACTACACTCCTAGTACATAACCTTAGATGACTTTATTTTTAGTAAAAACTGCGAAAACCTGACCAAACTTGATGTTTCTTTCTCTAAAAATGTCTCGGATGATGGGATGGCAATCCTTGCCACCAGGTTTATAAAATTTACTATCTTTTTAAATTCTGAAAATAAGAAAAAACATATGGTTGATATACAGGGTTACCCTCAAAGGATGAAAAACATATGGTTGATATACAGGGTTACCCTCAAAGGATGAAAAACATATGGTTGATATACAGGGTTACCCTCAAAGGATGGGACATCATAGAGACGATGGTTCGGTTCCGTTTTCCTTGATTCAGGGTTCCTTGTATTCCAAACAGACATATGCCTGTGCTTTTTATGCAAGAACCATTAAAATGCTTAATTTAATATAGAAACCAAAATTAAAGCTTCAAATCCTTATATGTTTAGAGTTCGGGGTCGTCTTTACAATCTCATCCTTTGTGGGTAACCCCGCTAGTACAGTATGTATATCTTAAATATAATATCAGAGTAATTTAAAATGTAGTTTACTTTTTTGCATTTAACATTTACAATTATTGGGATATATAGACAATACATGTGTAGACGAAAAAGCACAAAATGATAAACAACAATTTGAAAGTTTCATCACTAAAGATATGTTTTTAATTTAATAACTATAATTGTATAATTAGATCTATTACTGATGCCACAATAACTTGACATAACATTTTTATTTCAGCAAACAATACCTCAAAAAAAACTTTAAAAAAATTAGTTTTGACTTTCAGAATACTGACTTTTTTCCGACTTTTGTCAAGACTGTATCTGCTTCAAACTGAGTGAAAGACAATGAAGATTATTTCGCAATTTTTTGTCCCATGAATTGTGTTCAAGTAGAAAAAAAAATTATGCAAGATTTTGCGCCTATATTCATCACTATTCTGTAAAAGTAAAGATATATTCAAAACAAAGTCGACTTTTCAAGTCCGAACTAGTTTCTTACTAATGTATCTATCCAGGGATGAGATTTTAAAAGCTTTAACCGGAGTAAAACCTGGTCTTTGTGTCTGTTTAGACCAAAGTAAAGATCAAGTGAAGACCCGGGTTTTGGATGGCCTTGAGTTTAGTAAAAACCAACCGCCTTGAGTTTTTTCTTTTCAAGGCTTGGGTCTTTAGCAGCTGATGATAGTAAATTTCGAAAAAACTTTGTACAATTGGTTGCTGCCATGTTTTTCTCCCCTCACCATTGTAAATTTATTTTATCCAACCTTATGATTAAAGTCTTTCAAAAGGACTGTAACTGTTATTCTAATTGACCTTCCATTTAAAAAAGACCATCCTCGATTCACAAGGGTACCCTTTGACTGATTATTGAGGACAGAGATCTCAGTGTATATGTCTCTTAAATATTATGTAAAAAGCCGTAAAATCGGATGTCACTATGTTACCATAAAAAAGAAGTATGAAAAAAAAGGAAATCTAAAGCCTTAAAACTTATTTGAATAAATCCACAGAGAATTGGAAAAAAGTATTTACAAGTAAAAAAGAACAAATAAAATGACACTAATGAATCATGGAAAGCCGGAGCTCTCTGACTGACTCTCCACCTTTCATTTGACTCATACGACAAGTTAACCTTCTGTCTTCAGACTCTTTGTGAGTACTATTAACATTCATTTTGGTTTTAGCCCAGGCTGATTTTATTTCCTCCTACCTCACGTCAAGTCGTGTCTCATGTCTATTGGCTTGAATTTAAATAGAATTCCTGGTCCAACGGTGGCTTTGGTTTTCCACGTTTTTAAACATTTATTCAAAGCATCTTCTCTGAGTTGGCATTTTTTAACAGCTAAATCTCCCTACATGGTTTAGATAAGATGACTTGTTATCCATCCCACTGCTATTGTTAACTACAGTTTATTTACAAGTAAGCCTCTCTCCATGCTTACAGTACTGTGTAAACTTAACATTAAATATTAATATTTCCTAAAAATAGAAGAGCTTACAAATAAAGTTTTCAACAATAACAAACTTTTCTGGAAATAAATAAGGAAAAGTCAGTCATCTGTCAAGGTTTAAAGGGTACATATTTGGGAATCGGGGATACTCCTGTTGAACTGGATCGTTACTAGACTTTAAATTACACTTACAGTTCCTTTAACAATATTTGTTCAGTATTCCTCTGCAGTCCAGTCTAAAGATTTTGAAAGCTGAAAACACAATGATAACCCAAAGCGGGGTATTTATTTTGCTGGAACATCTAGATCACTTAGAATACCTGGAATCATCAGCTGTAGAGGACTACATCTACTGTATGCAGAATTTCTTCTCAAAATCCAATGTTCTTGACGCTGCTCTGGTCCACAACACAAATCATTATTTTAAAATAAAAAAACTGATGCTTAGTCTGAACAAGCACTACTCGGATAAACTAAGCATATTTTATGTTCTAACAATGATATTTCCTAATGTATCAAACCTCAGCCTGCATTCGGTTCACAGGTAGAGATGGGTGCATTTGACTTTTTTTCATTTTGTTCATTCATTCTTCGTGAACAACTCATTTTTTTCAACCGTTCAAAAAATTGCTTTGGTTTATTTTCAAAATTATTGTTCATTTTCCATCTATTTTATTCATTATCTCACTGAATAATTGTTCAGTTTTGTTTTTTATTGCTCTTTTTTGAAAAACCAGTAATTTTTCATTTCTCTGAACAATCCATTTCGTTCATCCATCGTTCATTTGTTTTTCTGAATGACACCCTTTTTCATGAAAAATTTGTTAATTCTAAAAACTTTTTTTTGTTCAAAAAACTATGCCATCTCTATTCACAGGAACGAGTTTGAGAATATTCATAGTCTGTCCCATCTGTCCCAGCTCAACAGTTTAATGTTAGGATCAACTCCTCTGCAATGGCTGATTCCTGTGTTTACTAAGATTGGGCGAAATCTAACAACATTTTGTTATATTAATTATAACGCTCCCAACATCGATATAAACTTTTCGATCATATCTGAACTTTGTGAAAATCTGGAAAATGTCACAATCAGTGGACACTCATTAGTTCACAGCGACATCTCTGAAAATGCGCTAAAACAGCTGAAACATGTGACAATAAATGCGCATGCGCACATACCGCGTGCCATTTGGACCCATCTTCTTTCTTCTTGTATCAATCTTATCTCTTTGTCATTGACTAAATGTGAAAATTTAAATGATAAAGCATTGAACAATGTTTTAAACAGAAACAGTGTCAACAATTTGGAAAAGTTTATTATTAAAGGTTGTCATAAAGAAGATATTGAGCTAAGTGAACATTCTGTAGAACTACTTAAGCGAAGATTTCCTGAAATTAAAGAAATTGGAGATTTATTCTCTTGGAGTTTAACTCCTAGAGATTTTTCTGTTACCGAGATAAGAAGACTGATGTAATTAAAAGCAGGGGCGTTACAGGTGACATGGGTGGGAATATGAGGACTACACCCCCCTATGCACCATGTGACACTGCTTTTGTCTCCATGATGGGAGGGGGGGGGGNGTCAGACCCATGTTTCAAATATGGTAACTTTACCAGCCCCCCCCCATACTTATATGTACCCTCGTGATAAATGTTATGTTTCAACTGTTACCTCTATACATTTTCTGAATTTTATGTACAACCATGTAAACTAAAGATCATGAATTGATAAAATAAAGTTTAACTGTTGAAATTAATTTGTTAACTTTTTAAATTTTTTAATCCCTTGTTCATGTGCAATCTGTTGTTGTAAACCATTCATATATATCTATTTATAAATTTGGCTTGTCTGTTTGTATCCAATAAACGTCAAAACGGCTGAGCCGATCAGGCCCAAATTTGTTTTGGGACATCACGTGACCATAGGGAAGGTTTATGAATGATAAAAATTTAAAAAATGTGTTTTAAAGGTTTTTAATTTTGTAAAAAAAAAAAAAATTCTTGAAAATCCGCGAATTTTTTTTTTAAATCCGCAAAAATTTGTTTCTTCTTTGTTTTTAAATGTAAACAAAAAGAATATGTTCACAATTTAAATAGAAGATGGGCGCGAAGCGCCCTAAAAGCCTAGTCTATATATAAATTTGGCTTGTCTGTCTGTTTGTCTATTTTTTTGTATCCAATAAACGTCAAAACGGCTGAACCGATCGGGCCCAAATTTTTTGTGGGACATCATGTGATGACAGGGAAGGTTTATGAATGATAAAAATTTAAAAAAATGTGTTTTAAAGGTTTTTAATTTTGTAAAAAAAATTTAAATTCTTGAAAATCCGCGAATTTTTTTTTTAAATCCGCAAAATTTTTTCTTCTTTGTTTTAAAATGTAAACAAAAAGAACATGTTCACAGTTTGAATAGAAGATGGGCGCTAAAAGCCTAGTAATAATAAAAATGATAATGATAATTATTTTTAAATATTTAAAATAAAGACTAAATTACTTTACAATTTAATAATTATTTTTAATTATTTAGAACGTCTCAGTGGTAGCTGCGGAGAGGTTCATCTTCAGCATTGTATCCTAGATCTAAGTTTGAGATCTGTTGTACAGGACAGATATTCTCTCCAGGATCTGTTCTACATGGATCTTTAACTCTACCAAATATGAATGGGTTGATCATTCTTCACGAGAATATTTGCAAGTAAAGATATATTTTAAAAAATCTTTTGGGAAATCATTTATTTTCCCCAGAAATTGTATATGGTTTACTTTATAAATGATTTTTTGGGCAAAAACTATCAAAAAGAAAGATTCATTCATCAAAAATCATTCCCCCCCGGTGGGGGTAATTCTGAAAAATATACACCCCTGAAAGTTGCTTAACGTTATAAAA